TTATCCTAACCTACGCTTTGCTTCTGGCGAGACGCGGGAGCAGCGTCAATGCCTACCTGCACATCGCCAGCGAGGGAGAAGCCTGCGGAGCCCAAAGGGGCTTTCACTCTTCCCAGCTGTAAGAGGTTTCTGCCCGTTGCCTCCCCCACCAGACACCCCCCGCCCCCCAATTTATACCCCACCTGCACCACTGGCTTGTAGACAACCCGACTTGGGCTCAGCTCCCCTCTAGCAGCAGGAACACCGAATGTACGGGGGTGCCAGTGCCAGCTCACTCAGGGCAGTGTTTTCTCAAGGCCCAGACCCGCGGGGAACTTGCTGCGTGCATCAAAAAAACATCACTCCAGTCTTAACCGTGGCTAAATGCTGTAGATTGTATTGTGAAGGACTCGATCTGTTTACTATGAAAACATTGTCATTTCTGCTTCCGTATTGCCTTTGCAGAAGTATTCCTGGATGTTACATGACAACCTTATTTATGTAAAAGTACGTGCAAACTGTAGAGTGTATATATTGTGTCGATTATACGGGGTCCACGGGTGGTACGCTGTGTTCCATGGCTTACGCCGGAGCAGACTTCAGCTGTTGAATCCTTAAAGACACCTTGAAGCACAATTTCCTCGCCACTGATTTGCCGTATCATTTACCACATTCAGCCTTTCCTGCTTTTATGTGCAGTCTGATCATACTAAAGCCTGATTACAGCAGTAGTTTTGTGAGGATAAATAGGGTTTTTTTTCCCACATCTCAGTTCACTTAAATACTAACTTATTTGAACGTCCACAGTTCATCCGGACAGATCTGTCAGTTTAAAGCACTATCCAGAATTTGCAAATTTACAACGTGGAGGGGGTTTTTAGGCTTTTTCTTTCTTTTTCCTGACGGTTTATGGTGCCTTTCTTGCCTTTCATGGGGAACCTCCTGCTGGCCTAAGCATAAACCTGCACTTAGGCTCAGTTAAGGAGCATGAGATGAGGGCATGTGGCAACCATGTGTCAGTAATGAAGCTCCCTTCCCCTCCTTAACAAGATGGAAAAATCAAGGCACCGCAAATTGGACAACGCTCTTCTTCCCCCTTCTTCTGCACAAGCAGATGGTTGCACCCACATTGAACCTGGAAGGCGTCAATGGGGGAAGCGAGCTTCGGCCCTGGCTCGGCCAGCTCCGCAGGGAAACGGGGCCTTGGGCTTTGCTGATAATTTATCTCACGGAAACTTGGTATTTTTGCCTTAAATGACATGCTTGAGTCCTTCTAATTTTAAGTTAATTTATTTAATACCATTTTGTGCACAAAAGAATGAGTTCTATAAATTATGTATGAAAATGTTAATGTCTTTACAAAGTACTAAGAAATGCAGAAGACCATATCTTTTCAAATCATGGTTTAAAATCCTAATTTTTTTCCTTTTACGCTCACTGTTATTATTTTTGTAGCTGCAAGTCTTATTATATAGGAATTTTTCAACATAATATTGATAGAAAATAGAAAGAGTAGTGAATATATGAAATTCTGAAGGGGAAGAATTGTATGTTTGGATTTTTATAAACTTTGGTCATATTTCCTCGTGAGGAGTTTCCTGTTTCCTCGCTCTCTCTTTAAGAGACAGTGTCATGACTGACAGTTATTCATTGGTTTCAGAAAAGAAGGACTTGTCTGGCTTTTCAAGTCTTGTCTTGAGCTGCTTATTAAAGGGGACAAAAGGGACAAAGAACTTCTTTTTTTTCTGAATTACAATCCACATGAGGATTGCTGAAGAGAAAACTGAACTTAAGTAAGAGTTTCAGGATTTAAGCCTCCAACAAACTGTTTTCTGATCAGCATGTTTCTTGTATCTGAATGAAGAGAGAACTGAAGAGATTAGTTTTGATGATTATTATATGTTTAAAAATTTGTATTTGCTCCTGGCTTATATGATCTATACCTTTTATTTAAATATGAATACGGTGTTTTAGCCTAGGGTTCAAGATCACAAAGATCATACACTTTTATTCACAGTGCCCACGGTTGTTCCATGTGTTTTTGACAATAATCCTACTTAGACTGACAGCTCTCGTTATAGTACGGTGATAACTCACCTGCTCTTCTGTGATAAGTCAAACATACTGAATTGCTGATGTATAGTAGAACATCTGATGTACAGTACTATTTCTGGAGTGGGACCTGCAATCCTTACTCAAGCAAAAATTCTATGGAATTCATTCACTCTGGAATTCAAGAATTTTTCTTGAATCGGGAGCTCAGATTCAAATCCTTATTTTGTTGGGCATCTGTTTAAAGTGAAAATGGTAATATTCCAATTATTTCCTGAGGAAACTAAGCTGAATTTACCCATGTCACATTGACTATATAAAAAATAACGCACAAAGTATTGATGTAAAAGGGGAGAAGGGACATTTTTTAAAAGCACAGAGAAAAGGAGAATAATCAAAAAAGAGGAGTAAGCAGGAAAAGAAAAATATAACAGCAAAGGAACGAAAAAAAAGAGGTTAAACACTTGAGGCTAAATTCATCCTTGGATGGCTTCACTGACTTCAATGAATTCACTGCCCAACTGCGTGAAGTTCAGCCTCCACTGGGATAACCAGGCTCAGTTCCACTGACCTTAAAGGAACTGAACCCACCTAGACCAGGAATGAACTTGCCTCTCTGGGCCAACTTTCACCCTGACTCAATATGTCATGCAATCCTTTTGGATTCATTAGGCTTGAATGAAATACAGGTCAGAGAAGAATTTGTCCCAGATATTTCTGCTTCACATGTCTTTTTTTTTCAAGTGTGTCAATCGACTTAATTCAAATGGATTACAACATCACACAAAGTGCTGTCACTGTCTAAAAAAGGTTAATTGGTTTTTGAAATATGAATTGTCCCCTGCAGCGCCAGTGGAAGCATGTACTGTTTTCCTCTTCATTCATCTGGATGAAAATGTGGCCATTCATTCAGCTGTGGCCACACATAGGACATTTCCAGACAAATCCAATATCATCTGCTATTGGAAGCATTTTTTACTTCTTTGAAAGATAAAAAGACAGTCTCGTAACAGACTTAGAAAGCACGAAGGCTGCTTCCACTGACACTGCAACATTAGCCAGTACATTACAATGTTAACTGTAACTTCTTGACAAAGTTGAATCCATATTGTTGTTAATAAAAAATATTTGAAATGTACTCTGCTTCCTGGGTTTTTTTCCTTACCTAAAAGATGGCATGGTGTGAGCACCTATCAGACAAGAAAAAAGAAACTACACTTACTGTTTTCTTTTTGAAGTTTTTTATTTTTTTATTAAATGGACCAAAACACCACAAAGGAAGTTTACTAGAATAAAACACAACCAAGCCAGTCTGGTATGTTCTGTTTCTGGTAAATGTTAACAGCACTTTACCTCAGATGTTTCAGCACCTCTAAGAAAATGAGTTTGGACGTTATTATTACATTCCCCATTAGATAAATGGTAATTTATTCAGGATCAGCAATCAAGGACCCATGCAAGCAGCAGGATTCCTCAGGGAAGGCCCATCTGCTACCTCAGTTTAACTCAAGATCTAGGTGAAGCCTTTTGCTCTGCATTGAATCATGGAAGTTGCTCTAGAATGCTAC